TGTGTGTGTGTACACACACATATGTGTGTTTTATGTCTATATATATATATATATATATATATATATATATATATATATATGATAATGCCAGTTATGTTGGTAGGGATAAGAACACTGTGAGTCACGCTTTATTTCGAACGTGAGTCGACAGACATGTGAGACAGAGTGGTGCGTTTTCCTCTGTGAAATTCAGCCCTTCAGGTTAATAAAATGGAGTGCTGTAAGCTGCATTCCCTCCTGAGGAAAAACAAATGTGATTTTCTCTCATTCTGGCCTTGTGTGTGAGGCTGGCTGATGAATGAGGTGCTGTAGTGTGCTTTTCTGATGACCCAGAGGTAATTAAAGATCCTGGAGATTTACGACGAAGATGCAACCTCTGAACCAAAGGACTAACCTGAGACAAAGCAAAATACCTTTAAAGAGTGGCTGTTTGTTGCATTATGGCATCCAAAATAGTATGCATCTGTGTCCCAGTCTATCTATCTATCTATCTATTTATCTATCTATCTATCCATCCATCCATCCATCCATCCATCTATGCATTAAATCGAGTATATGTGACAGTAAAGATATTTTTTCTGAATGATCATGTGACACTACAGACTGGAGTAATGATACTGAAAATGCAATTATCTGCAATTATCTAAAATGCAAAATAATGCACATTATCTGAATCTGTTGTCATCTGATTTTTTAAACAAAGAATTAATAACTAAATGTGAAAATAGATTAATCTCCTTTCTTGTGACAAGGGGATCGTCATATTTAGGGATAAAAAATGTGAAAATCCCTATGGAATAGTACACTGAAAAAAAACACCTTTATTTTGAAACAATGTTCACTCATTTGCTTGTAAATAATTACAAAGAAATACCAAGCCACAAACTTTACTTTTTTTAAGTAGGAAAATAATTTTCTTGTAAAACATACTCCAATAAAAGATGTAATAATATAATTAGTTTAAATGGATTCAGTTCAGATGCAGTTTTGTCACAGGATTTTAAGAATTGTTATCTAAGATTTGATGCTTATGATTTTAAACAGGAAATCGATGGGTTGAAAAATGAATGTAGAATAAATGGGGAGTATGACTGTGTCTTTTTTAATGTGAGGGATGTGATAACAGTTTTTAAACAGTGTAAAATTAAATCAGGAAGGCACATGGACCTGATAATATAGGGGGTAGGTTACTCAAGGAATGTGCCGAGCAGTTAGGTCCAACATTTTATGAAATTTCAACAACAAAAAGTACCTGCCCTGTGGAAGCAGTCTACAGTGATTCCAGTGCCAAAAAAGCATAATATACAGGTATTGGATGATTTTAGACCTGTGGCGCTTGCATCCTTAGTTATGAAATGTTTTGAAAAATTAGTTAAGAAAGTAATTATGCAAAGGACACAGAGTTCTCTAGACCCCCTACAATTTGCATATAGGTCTAAGCGAGGTGTAGAAGATGCATTAGCGACTCTCTTACACTTAGTACTTCAGTATCTGGATAAGCTGAAAACATTTGTTAATTTACTTTTTATTGATTTTTCATCCCCTTTCAATAATATTCAGCCACATATTTTAGTCGAGAAGCTCATTAATGAATTTGGGTTGGATTTTAGTCTCATAGGATGGATTTTAGATTTCCTTGTGCAGAGAACACAGAGAGTTGAAGTAAATTATTGTTTTTCTGAATGGCTGGTGTCATCTACTGGGTCACCTCAAGGATGTGTCCTCTCCCCTTTATTATTTATCTTGTACACAAATGACTGTAAGAGTAGTTATAGAAATAGGCATATTATAAAATTTGCTGATGATACTGTAATCGTTAGCTTATTGAGTGCGGAGGACAGCATGCATGGTCCTGTGGTTGATGATTTTATTATGTGGTGTCAGAATGCTTTCTTAAAACTTAATGTTTCTAAAACTAAGGAGATGACTATTGATTTTAACCCTAGGAGGAAATCTATTCAGTATAAGCAAACAAGCATTAATGGAGGGGGTATTGAGAGTGTTGAACAGTACATGTATTTGGGTACAGTTTTGGATAACAAATTGCCCTGTTCTCCCAATACTGATGTTTTGTGTAAGAGGGGGCAGCAAAGATTGTATTGCTTGCGGTCATTTAATGTGGATAAAACATTGATGTGCATGTACTACAGATCCTATATTGAGTCACTGTTATCTTTTTCATTGTTGTGCTGGTTTAATTCTCTAAATGTGAAAAACAAGAATTGTCTTGAGAGGATTGTATACCAGGGAAGTAAAATAACGGGGAGGAAGCAGATGACTATGGCCCAGTTATATCATAGACAGGTTTTGGGTAAAGCCCAGTGCATTTTGTTAAATGATTCCCAACCCATGTATCATGAGTTTCACCTTCTCCCTTCTGTTATTCGTTATAGAACCCCTATTAGTAAAACAAATCGGTTTAGACATTCATTTATCCCCTCAGCTGTAAAGTTTTTAAATTTAAGGTAAGAACTTTTTAGGAAGGAAACTGATTGTGTTTTTTTTTTGTATTGTATTTTCTTGTTTATGTGAAATGTCAAATCTCAGATAACTGCCATGATGACTTTTGTTCTACCCGCTTAAATGATAGAAGTACTTGGGCTGTCCAATCTATAAAGACTGTGTCTGTTCCCCGAATAGTGAGGTCAAAATATAAAATTTAATGCAGGATCTAGAAAAAATCTGATCGTGATTAAACCAGAAAAATGTCAAATAAATGAACAAAAAACATTTTTAAAGTTTGGGCTCCTAAACATTAGATCACTCGCACCCAAAGCAGTTATTGTAAATGAAATGATCACAGATAATAGTTTGATGTACTCTGCTTGACTGAAACCTGGCTAAAACCAAATGATTATATTGGTCTAAATGAGTCTACTCCAACAAGCTACTGT